ATTAAGGGTAACAACAAAGTCATACCATTTTTCTCACTGTTTACCTTTTCTGGTGCAACATTAGCAAAGACAAGAAACACTCCAGCATGTTCAGCATTTGTGATCCACAGTTTAGAGCCATTTATCACATAGATGTCTCCTAGCTTTTCAGCTTTAGTATCAAGAGCAAATGCATCACTTCCAGAGCCAACTTCAGAAAGACAAAAACTTCCAACCTCGAGAAAAATAAAACACTTTCATATATTACTTCATCATGGTCATTTTATGCTTTTTTAACTGACATACTGGATTTCTACCTTGAATTTTTGTATTTTCAATTTGTAACCCTCCTCTTGGCAAATTTTTGGGTGAGTCAAGAAAATGTTTATTGCAGTTCAAAATATTACAAAAAGTTTGAGGACACCATGTTTACTTTTATTTAATTGTTAGTCTTTGTAATTGTCCTCTTCATTTCTCTATTTTAATTCTCACATGCAAATCCTCATGCTACATTAAAAGAACATGACTACATCCCAACTGTAGACAGTAGCCTTTCAACAATACATGGAAAGAGAAAATCATGTCAAGTTTCCCAAGTTGCCAAGTTTTGGAAATCAGAAATCTGATCTTGATTGACTCTGAATCATGGTCCCTACCCCAAATCTATCAGCCTCTCATCTTCTCCCCTTCCTTGAAAAGAAAATGTCATTTTTGCGATACACATACAAATCAAGAAGCATAGGCAGCTGTAGTTAAGAGCATAACAGTTTACACACCATATTTTCTGCCAGTTTTGGCAAATACTCTGCCCTCTGTTGAGGTGTGCCATATTTCCTGAACAGTGTGACAATTAAAGTATTTTGTACATCACACATAACAGCAACAGCAGGATCAATCTTGGCCAGCTCTTCAATAACAAGACAGGATACAAAGAAGGATGAGTTTGTTCCTCCAAAATCAGCATCCACTTCTATTCCCATCAACTAGCAAAAAAAAAATTAAAATTATTATAGTAACAATCAAGAAGAGGAAATCATGAGTCTGAATTCAATGAACCAAATTGTGTAATAGCTATCTGGATTAACTGTGTCAAGAATGTCTGTCTTATTCCCTGATTAGCTGTTTGACTGCTAATCAATGAAATGACTAGCTTGTTGACTTTGTCTTACAAAGAAGGAGAGATATAGCTGTAGGGTAGCTGTCATACAAACCTCATCTGTTTGGTCTGCTTTAGAGTTGTAATGACTGTCTGTCTCTCTGCTTGTAAGCCATGTCTGACTATGGCGCACCTAAGCGGACAAAAATACTTGTGTATGGATATATAAGACTTGTTTTGTAAAATATACCACTTGTTGCAGAAATATAAACTTATTTTGTAAAATACAAGACTTGTTGCAAAAATATATGACTTGTGTTGTTAAATATACCACTCGTTGCAAAAATATAAGACTTGTTTTGTAAAATATAAGACTTGTTGCAGATAAGACTTGTTTGCAGTGAAAAATAATACTTTAAGGCCGCCCACTGTCTGTGGTTAGCTGCTTTGCAGCAGGGTGCATGCTAATTTCTATTGGTAGTTGTCTGCTTGCAATGACGAGTGCGATGATAAGTTGAACAGAGTTATTCCTCAGTTTTTCAGCTGCTTCTTTATCTGCCACAAACAAGTTTTGTCTAACGTCCTCGCAAATTTGTTTTCCAAGTTCTAACACTCCAAGAAAAGCTCCTAACTCATCTGCCATCTTTTTTGAGGCTTGAAGAGCGGTGGGCTGTGTTCCACTAACTGCTGAACACTCAAATCGCTGACGCTGTTAAAGTATTATATTTATACAAAGTCAGACTGTCACAAAGTCATATATTTTACAAAGCAAGTGTTATATTTTCGCAGCAAATCGTATATTTTGCAAAATAAGTTTATAATTCTGCAACAAGTCGTATATTTTACAAAAGTTTTATAATTTTGCAACAAGTCGTATACTTTACAAAACAAGTTTTATATTTTTGCAACAAGTTGTACATTTTACAAAACAAGACTTTTTGTCCGCTTCGGTGTGCCATATCTGACTGACTGACTGATCGACGAACTTATTGGCAGACGGTTCAGACAGACTGACTGACTGACTAAACGAGTGCCCAATTATTTGCCTGGCTGGCTGACACACCAGTAGAATGAAAATAGATAAACAAATAACCATGAACGCTGCTAAAAAACTGTTAGGACACTAATAACTTGTTTTATAATTTGACAATAAGAACAATTTTACATTTCAACTTACTCCTTGTTCAAACATGCTCCTGATGACTGATAGATCCATTTCTGAATTCTGATCCATTTCTGATACCAGTGGCTGAATCTTTTCCATAGCAAACCTAGCAACTGTAAAACAGCAAGCATATTGTCTTTTATCAACCAAGAGAAAGAAACTCAACAAAGATAACTTTTTTTAACTTCAACTGGAGAAATTTCAGTTTCTCAGATCCATTAAAACTTAATCAAAGAACATACATTTGATCACTGCTAATTCATTTGCTTGTCTAATCTTTTATTGACTGTAAAAAAATCATCCACAACTGGTTAGGTGTTGCTTTTGTATAGTATGTAAAAAATCAATTATATCCTGTCCCCCTTCCTCAATGAAAAGGATATAAAAAGAAAAATAATCAAAATTTAATATTTAAATTTTTGGTGGGGGTGACTTGAAACCTACTAAAAGCACTTACTTTGAGTTCTGATCAGTTCCATGTGATCTTGAATTTTGATCAGATTGGCACTGCAGTTATCTCAAAGTTTTTTTATTCATCAACAAAAGGAGCTTTAGTTTATGATGGACTATATTACCTGTTTCTTTCATCATTTCTTCCTCTTCAGAGAGCATTGTTAAAGGTCCACTTACAAATGACTTGGATATATTTTCTTCCAAATGAGGTGCTGCTGTGCTTGAAAATCGACCAAACACACTAGCATGTGGCAAGCATAATCTGCTAATGTTTGCTCTAACAACACTCTGTAGTGACCGCCTCATAACTGATGGTAACATCTATCATTGATTTGATAACATAAAATATCTATTAGTTATTCTATTTTAAGTGGTAGCTACATTTGTTGCCACTGTGATAGTAAGAATAATTTAAATAAGCATGCATTCATCAAGATAATAAAAACTCTTCACATTAACACTAACAGACAAGCAAATTAGGAATAAATCGTTATAAAATGATTTCTATAATGCACATTTTTTTAAAGTAGTTTCTGTGGCACACTGTTAGTCGTGCTGATGAAAATCTTGTTGGAGATTGATACCATTCACACAAAAAAGACAATCACGCAATCTTTAACTCGATCTCAATTTGCTTTATTTCTGGCTTGAATGTTCACAGTAGTAAACAGTGAACCATCGTTCATCGTGATTTCATGGAGCATGTTTTTACGTAATGTTAGACTAAAAGCTTATTTTGAATACCTTCAAAGCAGTGACCACCATGATGCAACTTCCTTGCCAAACCATCGTTTTTAAAAAATCAGTCAACCAACACTCCCCCTCCCCGCCTACGACATTCCCTTAAATACGTAAGCCAATCAGACCACGAGGTGACCCGAAAGTTCACCAGTGAATACGTCAACGATAACACCCAAAAAATGTCAACATGACGATCGGAAACGAAACGAAATCTTCGGAACTGGAGTTTTGTGAAGCAAACTCGTTCTAGCCCAAGAACTTAGCAGTGTTTTCGATCACTTCGAATAGGTGCCAAACGAGAACGAATTGAGAATCGCTCTGCCCACGCAAACCCAGGATTTTACGTCTACTACCGTCCACTGATTCCTTCATTGAAAGAAAGACGTCTATTTTTCTTTTTCATTAAATTCAAAGCCTTCTTATTGTAAATGAAAGAAACGCTACTACCACACTAAAGAGTGAAAAAGGAAAAGAATGAACCAACCTTGCCCAGCGCCATATTGTTGCATATATGGATTAGCGTCAGAACCAAAGAAAGAGTAAAAAGTATATTTTCATGTATGCTTTAATGAATAGTCTCGCTCGCTTACGATCCTCGCGTTTTACCGCGTAGTCGATAAATTTTACTTAGTTTTCACGCAGACGTAACCTTTTTAACGCCTTTTTCTTTCTATTACGACAGAATTAAGGATAAAACTTGGGTAAAAAATGGTGTTTTGACAAACTACATGTGCCAGCCAGAAATTTTCGTAGCGCAGCGCACCCAAGACACTGATGATTCCAGTACTCCCGATGACAAGCCTGATTAAGGGTCTCAGTGCCTTTTAGGATTTCATTCCTATACTAATTTTGTTTAATCTAACACCGCAGTATAAATAATTGATAGCAGTGATATTGTTAGTACGCGTTGGTGCAAAATAATATTACAGAAAGTATACGGATAAAAGAACGGCGTTAACAAAGATAGGGTGGGATAGGGGAGGGCGTTTCCAAAGGGAGAAGTACAACGCGCGCTCTAATCGTTCAAAATCCGTTTTTTGTTGTTGTTGTTGTTGTTGTTGTTGTTGTTGTAAGGGTAAACCAACAGCTCTTTCAGCCTGTTATGGTTGTTTAATCTGCAGGGACTCACGAAGAAACGGGGTGGGCAAGAGAGAAGAAAGAGGGGAGAAGTAGAGCTTGACAAAGGCAAAAAAGCGTTATATCTCGCTTTCTATTGGTTAACCAGCGTATCAATCCCTTCGAGATCCAGGGTCTTTGCACAAGCTCATGATTTAGGAACTTTTTACGAGTTACTCCAACATCTCGCTTGTATTATTTAACCAGTAAGAGGAACATCATATCGAGGTTACCCTATTCAGCTGACATCGCGGGAAAAAACTTCCGTGTCTTGAGAGACCGGAGATGTTCAAAACGTCGGAAAAAGCAGATGGATTTATAGTGCGGATTTGTTGCATTAAAAACCCATTGATCCAGAGGCCTTGGGTATCTCGTAGATTTCGACTCTTTAAAATAACTGTACCTCAGCCTTAGCGTCCGCCCATCACTTACCTCTGCCTGGATCTCAATAAGGAAATGTGCTAGTCGAAAAAGCTTAAGTTTTTGGCTCGAGCAATTTAGTATTGAAACACGAAACAATACATTAGGTCCCGCCATGAGAGTTTTTTGATATGTGCGCTATATAAATACTGGTTAATACTGGTTCTCAAAAAGCTGCGCAGCTAGTTTAAAGAAAGAAATTTGAATTTCAGTTCAAGTTCATTTACGTTTCTCTTTACTAGGACCACTGGTATTTACTCTGCCGAGAGTCTGGTAAATGATTAAATGTTTGAACAAATGCATTAAAACCTGGTGTTTTTATTTAACAGATCTAACACAGAACATAAACTCACTCATTCTACTTTCAAAATGGAATTCTTTTTAAAGACACCCTCCTCACAAAATAAAACTCTGTCCGCGAACATTTTTTGAACGTAAATTTGACGGTAACCATTTTGGTAGAAGACTGTTGTTCGCTTCTAGATCGCTGTCGGACTCTGCGGTAAAATATCGCGGAGATTTCACACCAGAATGAAAACTGGTCATGCTTCTTCTTAGCGGTGGGCGGTCTGGATGAGAATTTGAAGCAAAAGCGCAATCTACAGTACGAGCATTCAATGACTTGCTCCGAATTCGAGGGAGTTCTTCATTGCCTTGAAATTCAAACCGGTCTGAATTTCCTTTTACTGCACGAGTAACTACAAAAGCAGAACCTTCCGGTTGTGATGATGACCTATAATTCTTATCGAACACCGCAATGCTCTCTAAGCCTCTAACTTGGGAGCTTTTTGCCACTGTTGCAGCTCTCTGTCGAAATATTCGAGCACTCTGGCTCTGCCACTTGTGCTCAACATTGCTGTCTTTCACTTCAGACGAGCTGTTCGAGTGGTAGCTATGTTTTGTTTGCTTTATAAGAGCGTCCCATCTTCTTAGCATCGTCTCCTGTTCTTTTTCTTTCCTCAACAACCACACTTTTCTTTGCCGCTCAAGGTCTTTGACTTGTTTAATATAACTTTGCCCTAAATTTAAATTCGAGGCGTACAAGTTCCCAACGGTCCATGTCGATCGAAGAATGAAGGCTTCATGATGTGCATCCAGACAGGGAGAACGAAATCTCTGACAATCGCTTTCAGTGCGGTATTTGCTTGAATCCAACTGTTTTTCCGCTTCTTGGGACATGCTGCTGTTGAAATGTCTGACTTAAACGTGGCCAGCGTTTGCTTCGTTTAGTTTCTGTGCTCCTAAGAAAAATTCCGTGTCGTCCTGGCCAAGTTTGTATCAGTTTTTGTCATAAAGGTAAATATTATGTGTGGTATCTACATACACCAACTCACCCAGCACAAATTAATTTAAAATTCACTACTAAAATCAACGATATCTTCAATTTGCCGACGCGGTGAGTGAAATCACTTATGATATTTCTTTCACCGCTTCATGGCTAATGAAATTTTCAGCGCCTTTCCTATCATCATCTTTGCAAAGCGTTTTTGCCTGTCTTTTTTTTTTTTTTCAAGTCGAAATGTATGTTTACATGTTGCAGCCGGCAAAATCCTTTGTAAGGGACCTTGTTAAGCGACGCTTTTACTAACAGAATATTGAATTCAATGCTAGACCGGTTTCCTATTAACGACTATTGAGTTTACCATTGTTGACAACAAATTGACAGAATATTAAATTCAAAGTGAGTTTTACTTCCCGACTGCCATATGCAAGTTAAATTTTGTTTTCATGATTGAAAAACAGAGCCGCTTTAAATGAGATTTTAACAGACTAGTGTTAATACACTTCCTTATAATTTGATGTTAACGCCCCGTTTAGCTCTTCAGTCGCCAGAGGAAAATGATTAGTAGAAATCTTTGTATCAAAGACAAAAACATGCTTTTTTTAGGTTTGTACAATATAAGGATATGCCAATTTAGTCTTCGGAAGTGGATCAGTTGAGAGCGTTCGATAAATTTATCCTTTCGCCGTTTTATAGTTTGGCTTAACCAACTGATGCATCTGGACTTCTAAGGAAGTTCCGGCAATTTGTTTGAACAAATTAAAAATAGGCTGAAAGGGTCTACTATCTAAAAATTAAATCGTCATGTGATTTTTTTCCCTTATTTTCAAAGATGGAGTTCAGCTTTATTCAGTCATCCCCAAAAAAGAGCAGGGGAAGATTCACAGACAGACCGATTTTTTTTAATCAGCTATTGTCTATCAGTCTCTTTAACTTAAGTCCACACTGCCAAAATGCAAATGAGCAAGAGCGCATGACGCTGCGGATATTCTACGATAGGGAAAGCGCACGGGGAAAAAATGCGTTGTTGAAGGCAATCGGATTATGAAGAGGTTTTGCACAGCAACTATGTTTGATGGCAGGAACAATAGATTATTTTGCCCACGGGAAAAAAATTCTTTCTTATGCAGAATATTTTCATTGTTCCTGCCATCAAACATGGCTGCTGTGCAAAACCTCTATACTAAAAAAAAACCTCTCAAGCAAAAACTAGATTTTCGGATTGGGGAGCGCACGGAAATAGGTTTGTGCAAGAAAAGGTTTCATGAAACATTTCGATTTCAGTGTTTGTTAACATCATTCGGTCTGACCAAAACTAGAGAGTCAAAACAAAGGAAAAATCAAACGACCCTCTTGGGTTTATTGTGCTACAAACACAGTGGATTCCTTTCCGGGCCCTCAAAATAAACAAATCATTCTTGATTCTTATTGAGGCGGAAACTTTTTGCTAAATAATAAAATTCTTTTAACCTAGCTTTTCGGTCAACGGATGACTGGATATTAGCCTCGTCCTTTTTTCGCGTTTTCATGGACCTTAACTTCGTCTCGGTCCATAAAAACGCAAAACAAGGAACTCGTCCAATATCCAGCCATCTTAACCCCACGCTTGGTTAATAACGCATGTGCATACGCGGCTACTGATGTGTAACAGGCAGCTGTGCCCGGAAAAGGGGCCGTAAGGCGAAACACAAAAACGGTAGCCTGCTCGCAGACTCAACAGATATCGGAAAAACGTTTAACAGGAGGGGGTAGACCGATGGTAACTGGCTTTTATTGAAAACCCTGTACGAAGCAATTTCACTTCTAAATCGAGTGATGAAAGTGATTCGCCACAATTGCATTCATTTGGTAATGCTTCTCTGCAATTGGTTCAGAATACGCGTGTCACTCTTTAAACCAATCAGATGCAGAACTATACCCAGTGAGCCCACAGTAACTCAGGGTTTTCCGTAATTATGGTAATGTCCTGTAATCATTTTGAGTTCTTGCTACTTCCTTGGGTTATTACCCTTGGTTTTGATAGGCGGATACGATCACTTTTAATTAGTTTTTTTTACGACACTACATCGAACAGCGTTATAAAACATCCAGAAAAGTTCATGTGGTGTAACACGAATTGACAAAATTTCATAAAAATCCTTCTGACTGAAATAGTTCGTAAACTTTTCTAAATCGTATTCAATATTATCTGTTCACTGTTGAATTATCCTTATTTTCGATATCGGCTTCCTTTTCCTCGCCATTTTCACAATGGCTCGACAGTTCATCAATCGTAGTTCCTTTGGA